TCCACAAGTCTCTCGTTAACAACGATGTAAAGTGTGTCGACGCGTCCATCGCTAAAGGTCATACAAGTTTACGCACCAACCTCGGTACATCGCGATGAGGAGGTGAAGGAAATGTATGAGGATATTTCTAGAGCCATGCATTCTTCAAAAACCCACTATACGGTTTTAATTGGAGACTTCAACGCAAAACTGGCACACGATAAAACGGTGAGCTGAAGGTAGGAAAATTTTGGGATAGGGAAACGGAACCCAAGGGGCCGGCAGCTGTCCGACTTCATGGAGAAAGAGGGACTCTTAATGAAGAACTCTTTCCTTCTGAAGCGGCCTCACAGTAAGTGGACCTGATCCAACCCCGACGGTTCGACAAAAAATAAGATTGATTTCATTATGACGACTAGACGACAACTGTTCAGTAATGTCTCAGTAATCGCAAGGGTAAAAACTGGCAGCGATCTCCGAATGGTTACAGGCACACTTAACCTAAACGTTAAGTTGGGGAGGCCTCGTCTAATGAAGTCAACGCTCCGTCCCCCTCGTGCTCTAATCCAAAGTCCCGAAACCTTTGAGCTCGAGTTACAAAACTGTTTTCAGTGCCTTGAAAACTGCAATGCAGTAGACGATATAAAAAAATCATTTATTCCTAGAAATAGAGCTACAGACCTGAACACTGGAAAAAAGTAACTTATATTAAATTAATTTTGACTTGTATTAAATTAAATTCTTATTAAATATAAAATATACTGGCGGACCCCAAACTAGGCATAGCCTGTATCTTGGGGACCAGGAAAAAGGGATATGAATGACAACCTCGTGGAAACTGTCCATGCGGTCGAAGCTAAGGTCTGCAAAACCCGCCGCAGAAGAACACAAAAACTCTCCGATCACACTTTTAATCTTGTGGCCGTGGTAGGAAAAGGGGAGATCTCCCGCCGGGCAAGGTGTTCTGCCCGGGGGAGCGGCTCACACTCCGTGTGATAATTCGGAGATGTTCTATATATACTGTTTATGATTCGGAATGTTGATAGCGCGATTTAGGCTTCGGTGTGTTTTCGCTTGTGGCGGCGACGGCAGCGCCGCTACATCACCCCTGCTCAGACCGGAGGTCGTTAGTGCAGCCTTGTTGCCGAGGAATGTGCAAGTGCCAGTGGATTGCCTTGTAGTCTGCGGTGAGTCGAGAAGAAGGCAAGTAATCTGCGAGAGTGCCGTGAAGCAGAGGCGAGCAGTAAGGCTCAGAGCCGTGCCGAACACTGTATAGCGCAGAGAGTAGCTTGAAGGAACAGGAAGCATTATTATTCCAATGCTGCGATGAACCTTGTGAAGCTAGATGGCTTGCAGGATATGAAGACTGCAGACGATATCTGCTCGGGAGCGATACGGTGGGGTATTCAATGACGATGATGAAGCTTGAAGTTTCCGAAAGTTGTTGGTTGCGTGTTCAGATCACGTCGGGGTCACCACTGTGGCCGTGGTAGGAAAAGGGGAGATCTCCCGCCGGGCAAGGTGTTCTGCCCGGGGAGCGGCTCACACTCCGTGTGATAATTCGGAGATGTTCTATATATACTGTTTATGATTCGGAATGTTGATAGCGCGATTTAGGCTTCGGTGTGTTTTCGCTTGTGGCGGCGACGGCAGCGCCGCTACAATCTCATTGCTGTTAGATGGAAAATGAAACTGCAGTCTTCAACAAATTTGACAGTATACAGCCAACCGAACAGACAGATCTCCATAAGCACGCGGCGGGACTTACGCAACTTTAATAATGCTCATATTGAAGAAGCGATCGAGCGGAACGAGGGCTTCAAAGTTTTTGTCAGAGATCTGTCGGCCAGAAAGAGCCAACGGTCAAAGCTGAAGACCGAGTGTAGCAGCATCGTTTCCGGGACACCTGAAATTTTGAGTGAGATTAGGAGATTCTATGGACAGCTCTACACATCATCGTTGGAGCCACACGCAAGTGTGAGTAACGATCCAGGAGTAGGTAAGTCTTATCCGACACTATTCCGATGGTATCCCGGGCAGATCAGTCTGAGCGAGATAAGAACGGCTCTCTAACACCTTAAAAACGGCAGGGCGAAGATGGAATTATGGCGGAGCTTCTGAAAGCGGGTGGAAAACTGGTACTTAAAGTCCTTCAGAAGCTCTTCAAATCCGTTACCCAATGGTGGCACTAATCCGGAGGCATGGAGCAGAAATGCGGTGGTCTTGTTCTTCCAGAAAGACGACAACGCTCCCTTGAAGAACTACGTACCGATTTCCCTTCTGAGCCGTGTCTACGTGCTGTTTTCGAGTCATTACTAATCATCTCGCACACAGACTTGATGACTTCCAGCACCCCAAACAAGCTTCAGTACCATAGACCACATACATACCCTGCGGCAGATTGTACACAGGACCGAAGAGTACAATCTATCACTTTGCCTTGCGTATGTGAACTATGAAAAGCCACAGTCGAAATTTGGGCGGTGCTACAATCCCTTCAGCGGTTCCAAGTTAATAGTCGGTATATCGAAGTGCTGAAGTGTTTGGACAGTAGGGCTACAATGGCTATCCTTGTACAGAACCAGAGTACGAAACCTAGGTATCCCACTGCAGAGAGGTGTAAGACAGGGTGACGTTACATCCCCGAAACTCTTACACTGCTGCATTGGAAACTGGAATTTGCACATTTTCAAGCTCCTGAATTGGAAAGGATACGGTATTAACATTAATGATGAGTACATTACTCACTTTTGCCGACGATATACTCCTTATAGCAGAATCGCTGGAGGACCTGAGCCCTATGCTCAATGACATACATAATACCCTTCGGCAAATTGCACGGAAAACCGAAGGAAACATAATATAGCTACTTTATTGTCTTGTCTCTTCATTGGTGCCAGGAATGAATACCTATATCGAATATATTTATATGAATTAATATTATATCGAAGTGCCGAAGTGTTTGTATACTACAGGGTTGTCAACCGTCCTGTTTTCCCAGAACATGTCCTAGTTTTGTAGTGTCCTGGGATGTCCTGCATAGTTTTTAAGCAGCGTCCTGGATTTTTAAAGCGCCCTGATAAGGTCATGTATTTTAAAATTCGCGCGCCACTTTTGTAATTCTTACATTACGGGCGGGCGGCCTTACTGTCTATATCATAGATATGAAGTGTGAACAATTTTGTGATTATTTGTTAACTCAACCATAGATATTAAAGGAAATTGGTGGGGTTGAAAAGTATAGTAAAAATGAATAAGTTTGTAATATTAGAATTTATTAGATACTATAACTAAACCTAAGGTTAAAGAATTTGTTACAAATTAAAGTGCTTGTTTTATATTTTAATAATTGGTTTTCAACTCGTATAATCCTGCTTTTAAACTGAATAGTCCTTGTTTTTCCAACTCTAAAACCTATTTTCTTTAAATTTGGGGTTGGCAACCCTAGTATAGGAGGACCACGATGGCCGTCAGAAACAAATTCAAAATTCTTCGTAGACAGCTGTCTACGAAATTCTTATAAAATATTGCTATCTCGCTTGACAGAGATCAGCGGGTACAGGGCACGGAGGGCATCTATACCTATACATTCGTGTTCATTTATTTACGACTCACACACTAGCACCATGCACGCACAAATAGCCATACTATTCAATTAAGATAAAGATGTTGACTTTTGGGTGAATCGTTAATAAATTAATCACCTTCCTTCACCAGTTTTAGTTAGGCTACTTCGTAAGTTTTCCAGCGCTGTATCTTGAATTCTCCGATTATAGAACAAAGTGTTTTACTATAATCGGAGATTTTTACTATAGATCGGTTAAATTCAATGCCGATATATGTCCCAATTTTTTTCCCTTGCTACACGAGCACACAGTTCTACAGATTGTGTTGGATATATTTTTCGACACGTCTCCCGCCACCTGCAACCAAACTCAGCCCCGCCACCCGCAACTTTTATTTCAAATCACAAGGTCCTTTACCCTGTGCATTTTGTTGGTTTATTGAGGAGACTGCTCCGTCAACTGACAGATGGAATATACCCAAAAATGCTGAACACAAGTTTCACTGAATATTGATGCAACAAGTTTGAGAGCATGAGTTCTGTGCTCACCAATGTTTTCCCAGCAATGAAAGCATGCAGTTTTTCTAGTAATGTATGCCTGATGACGCATTCTTGTGAAGGTTTAAGTAAACTTAGTGGCCTTTACCGAGTAGTGGTGGTGAAAAGGTTAACCTATTGGACTTAAAGAGGTTATTGGTGAGGTAGGATCAAGTGTTTCATGTCGCCCCACTTACGTTTTCGTAAATAAAATAAATTTAAATATCTACTTACAACAACACAACAAACCTGAAATTATTTGATCTATTTCTAATAATTTGGCGTTCTAAAATACTATCTTCATCAAATTTCTGCTGGGTAAAGATATCGCCACAATTTCGCAGAAACTATGTATGAAAAATAACTAATATTACGAAGAATATTGTAAACAAAGAATTATATAGAATAATTTTAGGCTGAATTACTTTGAGACTTACAAAATATGCTTTCTGTCTTTCTTTATTTAGATTACAGGAAATTTCATTTATTAAAAAAAAATTGTTTTATCTTTCGATTTGGAAGTTTATTTTAATGGATCACATTATTGAAATTCCGGAAGGCTTATTTTAGTTGGAGAAGTTAATGCAGTTAATGACAATTTGGTAGTATTAATAAGTGCTGCTCCATATGGTCCTGTGTGTGTTTAAAATGCATAAAAGGCGACAGAGGGAATAAACCAGATGGGCAGTAGCACCTTCCTGACAACAACTCAAAATAATTAAAACTTGCAGCTGCCAACCCAATCGCTGAGCAACTACAGCAAATATGCCCCTGTGAGGCAATCTATTGGGGGAGCATGTTCCACAGTGGTTGTTTTAAAAGGAGCAAATTATATTTTTAATAAATAACAAATCCATCTATTCCATAATTCTATTCATTTATACAGTACATATTTCTGCTATAATAATAAATATACTATTTATTCATTGCTAGAGAAAAACTTTGATAGGAAATCTTTTGGTTTTGGTTCTTCGGTTGGTTTGAAGTATGCCATAATATGTCCTTTTTGTTTCCACAAGTTTACTGCTTCTTTAAGTTCCATTTGACCCTAAAATCATGATGAAAAATTTTAATATCTTGAAATACATATTCAATTAAAGCTTTAAATTAAGTTATAATTATGAACTATCAACATAAGAATATAATAGAACTTTATTTTAAATGCTACTGTGCTTAAACCATAAAGATAGTCTACACTTTGCAATAGTGATGCAACGAATACTACTTTTACAAATATGTACTCGTATATCAAACCTACTATTTGGCGAATATGAATATCTCGCCATGGTAATGAAAAACTAATTTATTTTATGATTTTCTACTGTTCTAGTAATTAAAATTTACAACAGGCAAATTTTTATTTAAAATACAAAAAATACACTTTTTTTATTGAAGTTAAAGTTTTTGTATTAAGTTTAGTAATTATTGATATTGTTGTTAAAATGTATGATTTTTTTCTTTTCTTAGATTTTTAAGCAATTTAACTAACAATGATTCTATAATAATGTTATGTTACTAACCAATTTATAGACTCTTGTCTGAAATAAAGTTTATTATTATTAATTTTATTTTTTTTTATAATTTTTTGGTTTTAAGCGATTTCTTTTTTCAGTCTGGATGTTCCCAGCAGCTGAAAAATATTTTTGGCAGAGTTTTTTCAGCCTTAGAGAGTGGACGGCATCTTCTCGCCAAATAAAAGGCCAATGGATCAAAGGCAAGATTTAAGACTTCATTTTATTGGTATTGCTTGAGATAATATCCTTGCTTCTTTGCTTAGCTCTTTAGTAGCTTCTTCAAATTTGGCTCATAAGAGCCTTGCTGTGATTTCATAACGACAATTTGGTAAAACATCTTGAATTGCTATGCATTGTTCATGTAATCACTTCAACATCTGATATGTTGAGTCCTATCTAGTTTCAATATCTTGAAACAAAACATGTTTCGGTATATTGCAAGCTTGTTGAGAATCTTTTAATTGTTGGAGTGTTAAAATGAGTAATAAGCCCTTGTGTAGCCGTCTTTGCAGCCTATGTCCTGTACACACGTCGTATTATTAAGCATCGCCGACGACGCGCGTTTTCAGTCTGCCAGTAATTAGATTTGCATACAAAAATATTAGTTTTTAAATACTTGTGATTAGTATTCGCCGAATACTAATATTCGGTAAATGTCTACTTTTCGGCAAATACAAATATTCATATTCCTTGCATCACTACTTTGTAATTATATTATTTAATTTTTTTATAGAAGAGGAGGCAAACGAGAATGTGGCTCACCTGATGGTAGGTGACTACTGCATCCATGAACTACTGCAATACCAGGGGAATTGTAGATGTGTTGCCGGCCTTTTAAAAAAGAGTAGGCATGGTAATTCAGTACTAGCCATATAAAAAAGCACGATCATTAATTACTGTTACAATTATAGCCTATTAAAGTGCACTACTTAACACAGGCCTCCCTATAGGTTGTCTCGTAGGGGGATATTTGATTTAAGGTTGTCAACTACAGTTTTTATTTTTATTTTAGCGGTAATTAGGAAGATGCAACTGATTTGCTTCCTTCAAGTAGCTAGAAGCAAGAAAGAAGGATTAATTAAGCTCTTTCATACACTTAAGGACATACAACTTAGGGACCCTCAAAAAAGAGCTTACTCCTTTCTAAAAGGCCGGCAACACATCTGCAATTCCCCTGGTGTTGCGGTTGTTCATGATAGGCAGTAGTCACTTACCATCAGGTGAGCCGCATGCTCGTTTGCCCCCTCTTCTATAAATAAAATAGGACACTAAAAACTAACAGTCAATGTGCAAATAAATTTAACACAAGAATAAAAATAGTGCACAAAGAAAGGGATATATTTACCTTAATGACTAGTATATCAATAACCCGGATATCAGTAACATGTTTGTTATTTAAAAACATTTCTTTGAGTCTAGCTCGACATTGTTCTTCAGATTTTGGTATGTCAAAATCTTTCACTGAAATGAAGGAATATGTAAAATTACTTATAACATTGATAGTTTGTGTGTTACTTATACGCTACGACCAACCAACCAAATACGCTAAATGTTAGTGGTAAATAGAAATAACATGATGACATAACACTGTACAAACCTAAGTAAGGAATTTGACGGTACCACGCTTTATAAAGATTTAGTACTCGTGCTCTAGCTTCTCCAGCATTAAGGGAAAGCACCGGTCTCACATTTTTTGTACCAACTTGTATGGCTTGTCTTGCTGCCATTATTTAAGATATATTAGAAGCAAAAAACTGCTCTTGGATTTCGATAAAATGTTTTGACTTTTGACAAATGAAGTTGACATACATGTCAAAATATTTCCTTTTTTTAACCTGTACAGTCACCCTTTTGCCAGTGTGAAGTAATAAGAAATTATAAAATATTTTATTCAAAACGTCTTTACAATATTATGCTAAAGCATAAAGTGAGTTGCAGTAATTTTTGTTTTCATTTCCAATTATACATGTTTACATACAGGAACAAATATGATTAGAATTAAATAAAGTAACAATAAGTATAACAAAAATAACACATTGTAATAAAATTAAAACTATATCTAGCTTAATGTAGAATCTACAAAAGAAAAATTTAAAAGTTAAGTTTATAATAATATCTACCAACCTGAACTAAGTTAAGTACCTGTATTTCAGACCATCACTTACACTATGTGTTTAATAATGTAAGACACTATATAATTAAGCTATATTATGTAATAAATAAAAGACTACAAAAAATGACTTTTAAATAAGAATGATTTGTTACATACAATTAATATAAACTATTTTAGAATTTCTAGCAACTTCTCTGTGTCTTGCTAATTTAATTTACTCAGATATTCCCTTACAATTATATTACACTTCTTTTAACTTACACTACATAATATCTTTAGTAACTTGTTGAGCTTGTTATATAGAAATGATCCTAAAAATATGTAAAATCCGTTTACAAATGCGTGTTTGATTTGAGGTTTCACACAGACTAAGTTGAGTCTTCTCCTGTCTATGGAGTTTAAGTTAAATGGAAGTTTAGTATGCTGTTTTAATATGATGTTCAGGATAAACAACAGACGGACAGTTAGTACACCATTGATGTATAGGAAACATGAATAGATAGAAAGAGGCTGACTACCTGTAGAACTACTTTAAATGCGGGACATGCACATTCATACGAGCTACAATTATGAGCGTAAATATTTAGATGACTATAAAAAATTATTATAAGTATGTTATTGTTTATCATTAAAAATAACATATATTGTATTTTATCTACGTTTAAATTTAGGAGAATGTTAAGAAGCCGATTATATACTATGTTAAAACCTTGCTTGATTTAGCTGAGATCACAGGGTTGTATCATCCGCATACGACATTATCACACCATTATGAAGTTGAAAATTGCACAAGTCATTTATATAAATTAAGAACAATGTAGGCCCCAGATACTGTCCTGTGGAATTCCATAAGAGCTGTTTTGAAATTCTGTACTTGTATACTCACCGATTTTTACACATTGAAATCTACTATCTTCGAGTCTAAATCTACTATCATTTATGAACCGGCGACATAACCGGTATACTACTTCTTGATATTAAATATAAACTTTTAATTTTTTATTATATACTTTGAGAAAACGTAACGCATTCCTTTCATACCTGGAACAAAATTGTATTGCAAAATTGTGTTGCATAATGTTGCTACTTTACACACTACCCTTTTAACTGGCAAACAGACACATATTAACTGAATCCTTAGAAGTGACAACCCATCTCTATTTCTTCGCTTTTTTCATACACTTTTATTAGCTTCATGTGTATCTATCTATCCAATTTATGTAACGGAATATTATAATGTAATTTTCACCAACTTGTAGACGGCTGATCAACTTGAAAATTTGCACTCGTACCAAAAACCGACGACAATACAATAATTTAATAACTCTATCCAAGAATCCTGATCACTATCACCAGGAAAAAGTAAAATAATTATCAGGATCTTCACAGCTCATGATCAATGTGTGTTAAGTTTTTTAAACTCTTAAATTATTCACTTTATGTTACCTTTATAGAGTAATATAAAAATAGCAACTTTCAATATATTAAATAAAAATTAGTTTTGACGGAAACGGATGTAATGAAGCCACTGAACTACAGACCAGGTATGTATTATGCTCGCTTTTGGTATAAAACGAATATTTTTCAATAATGTTTTTATTACATTTAATCACGATAAAATTCATTGAAGACATGATAAAGTTTTCAATGAATTTTATCATGATACATCCGTGAGAATCTGTGATATTAAATCGAAGAAATCTGTACCAAAGGGTCCTTAAGTCTGACTTAATGTTTGTTACAAATTGTTGTTTACAAATAGCAACCGTACGACATTATTGCATTATTGCTATAAATAGACAGGTTATGTGTGGTTAAGTTAAATAAATTATAAAGCAACCTTTCTGCATTTTTGTGCTGCAAATTCCTTTATTTACTCATCACAATGTAAGTCCTTTTTTAAATTGCAATTTACGGAAAGGAGTGATAAATGATTATAGTTCGACATCGTTATCATATATTTGTTATCTATGTACACCATTGTAGAATTGACTTATATATTACTAGCGTAAGGACCGGCCCGACCGAACAACTAAAACGGACCAGTGCGCTGGCCCTAAAATTACAGTTTAGAGCCAACGCGAAACGGTCGACAGTGGTGCGCGCGCAGGAAAGATTAAAAGAATGCAAAAATTACGATACAAAGATTTAAAAAAAAACATGGGATATCGTATCATCGGTAAATAGCTTTATATTAATTTTATTATTACTAAATTATTATACAAACGCATTTTAAAAGTTTTATTTTACAGTTAGTTTAGTTACGTTACCAAGATTAGGCCAGGGTTGGATTCAGACCCCAAAATATTGTAGTTGAAAAATAAAATTATAGTATTTTTAAAAAATTATATCACATTTGATTTTTCATCCTTCTTTTTTACCATGTGCCGGGATTTTGGCGTCACGCATCTAGTTTATCTATACGTTTCCTTTTTTCACGGTTTTATTTTTATTTCTGTTTAACTTTTGTCTAAAGAACTATGTGTAAGTCAAATTTTGAATACTGGTACCTAATATTATATTTTATATTCAATAAGGGTAAAACTAAATAAGTACAAAAGAAAACATATCTGCTTAATTGAATCTGAAAATCTGATTCATAAAATATTTTGAAATTCTGGTTTTCCGGTTATGGTTCGGTATTCGGTTGGTGTTTTATCGTGGTAGCTCCTCATCATAGTTGCATCAAGGATGCAACATAAATGCATCGATCGAGCATCGATTGACAGAAAGGAAGCTAATTCTAATTTTATTTAAAAAAGCGGTACTCATGTACAATACAGAAATTCTCGATATCGTAGGGTTAATATTAAAATGTAAAAGGACCCAATAATAATACAAGTCGACCTTTGAATAACATAACCAAAAAAAAACCGTACCAACCCTTGTTGAATAACATAACCAAGATCTTGGTGCATCTATCCAGTAATTGGCGATTTTTCATTTTCTTAATGAAATATGTATTCGAAAAAGATCTGTTTTGTTGTTGGTATTTCTTTATTGAAGCTGAATATATATTTTTTGGATCTTTATTTTGAAAATCAGTCATTTCATGTGTGTTAGCATTACTGGCTACATGCCCAGGTCAACATATTTCTCAAATTCAATATTTTCTAAATTTTTTCTGCCCCAGTATTACCGTCCTTTTGCTGAACACCAAAATCGTTCTCAGAGGGATCAGAGGGTTGCTGGTAGTCAGAAATATCTCGTACATTTTTATCACTTTTTTCTGGTTTTCAAAATCTTGCACATTTTCATCACTTATGTTTTTTTCTGGTTTTGTGATTTTCTGCTTTCTTTGATTAGATTTTTGATGGATGGGTGGCTATTTAATTCTCATTTTTATGTTTTAATTGAAAAAAAAGATTCGATTTTTGCACAATTTTCAATTTTTTTTCTCTCGATCTAACTGTAATTTTCGTTTTATAGCTCCACTTTTATATTTTATAGCAGGCAACTTGTAAAACAAGATGTGATATTTTTCTGAAAATAAATAAAGAACTTGATAGTTTTCTGAAACTAAACAGAGCAAGCGACCAATGTAACATTGTCCCTCACGTCACATTTTAATACTTTATGAGTTTAACAATTAACAAATTATCGTTAAAATCGATTGTTCATTTAATTTTTAAGAAAAAAATCATGATTTAAAATATTATTAATAGTATATAATTTATTAAATGCGTGTCACAGAGTATAAAGTTGAATTACAATATATTTACATGTAGCAATTTACAAAAACGCTTCAAATGTTAATTTATATAGAATTAAATTAATTTACACTATCTATAGATTTGTTAAGTAAAGTTGCTTAATACGTTAGTAACATCATGTACTTTATTAACTGCATAAAATATCACAAATCTAAACAAGGTTATAGATATTCATAATAAACACAACAGTTATAGAAAGACCGCCCACAAGCCGACGACATCTGTCTTTTATAGGCTTGTAATTTAACAGTGCTAAACTACAGATGGCGTTGCTTGTGTGGTTTCCGTTACAAGTTTTTATAAAATTGGATATTAAGCCGTAAGTTTTTAAATTATAAAACATTATTTATATTTCTTACAATTATCTTAAACGGTTTTACATTCTAGTTATAAATAAAAGCAAAAATAAATAACTAGACATAATCTAGAACATTAATGTACCTGTAGACTTTATAGTATGAAAATAATTAATTACCCACCATGTTAGTTACAACAATATAAATTATTAAAATACGCTAAGAGATTATTATTAATTAATTTATAATATGTCATTTTATTTTAAAATTTAATTAAAAAATATTTTATCTCAACAATTGATCATTAGTCATAAATGTAAATAAGATTTAATATATAATGTAGATCAGAGTTCCCCAAACTTTTTTGTGTCGTAGACCCCTTGCCATGTTTTTCCGTGTTGGGTAGATCCCCTACTTACCTGATATTGATTTCCTGTAAATTTCTAACTGTAGTGAAGTTTAGTGTTAAAAACTTAAAGTAAAAACACATGTTAATTTATACATTTATTAATTGAATTTAAAATAAAACTACCCAAAATAAAATTTTATATCTGTTATGTAAAATATACGTAGCATTAAATAAACATAAAATAAACTATAAATAA